TTTAAAGTATCATTATCATTTTTCTAAGTACTTTATCATTTTTCTGCCTTTTTAAAAGGCTGAATACTTTTTAAGACTCCAAAACATGCAATTCAATGCAGATGCAATAAAACATTTTAAAAAATACACAGTACTGAGAAGAGTTTTTGTTTTAGTAACAGGGGAATAGGGAATAGCAACCCACTCCAGTATTCTTGCCTGGGAAATCCCATGCACAGAGGAGGTTGGTGGGCTGCAGTCCAGAGGGGTCACAAAAGAGTCAGACAGAACTGAGTGACTAAGCAATAGGAATAACTGTGGAGTATTGTGTATCAGATTAACCCTCCCATAGATAGCAACAATAAACTATGGACAAAGTAGCAAAAAAATAAAAACACAAAAAAAGAAAGTAGAAAAATTATTTGAAGCACTGGAGAGTGACCAAAATCAGGCAAATGCTGAAGGAGATTTGACTCTTGAAAGAAGAGAACTGCATATTGTTATAATCATGCATATTATTTATCCAGGACACTCTCCAGGCCACAGAGCACTGGGGGATTAGAACTAAGAAAGCTCCATTATTATTGGCTTGAGGCATCAGAGGGTGGGGTTTGAACTGACAGTTCATCTGGAAGGGAAGAAGAGAAAGCAAAGGAAGCAGGGAGACATGGAGAGGGGAACTTTGAAATCTGCCTATCAGCTCCCTTACTGTGTCAGTTTCTCCTGGAATTATTGTTGCATAGGGGCAACTGGACAGAACACAGTGGAAAGAATTAACTGAAAAAGCTAGTAAAAAAAAATTCAGCTGCTTCCCATTGCAGGAAAGTCAGAGTTCAGAATTCCACTAGGTTAGAGGAGCTTCCCAAACACCTTGAAACGTCCATTGAAACTCCATTGGGCTGTATATTAGGAGACAAGACTATATCTCAGATTTATCCTAAAACCAATGGTAAAATCCAAACAGACTTTCCCTAACAAGTATGAGAAACAAATCTCCACAAAATTGAGATGTTCAGCAAGAAATTTAACAGACAGGAACTTCACAAAAATTAACATTCTTCAAAGGAAGTAAAGTGAAGTGACAGTCGCTCAGTCATATCCAACTCTTTGGGACGCCATGGACTGTAGCCCACCAGGCTCCTCTGTCCATGGGATTCTCCAGGCCAGAATACTGGAGTGGGTAGCCATTTCCTTCTCCCGGGGATCTTTCCAACCCAGGGACTGAACCCAGGTCTCCAGCATTGCAGGCAGATTCTTTACCAGCTGAGCCACAAGGGAAGCCCTGTAGTTGTGGCAGGCAGGCCCTCAAGCATGCAGGCTTTAGTAGTTGTGCACACGGACTTAGTTGCTCCCCAACTTAGCTGCTCTTCAAAGGAAGATATCCAGAATTTCCTCCTCAGTCAAGCCTTTCTTAGTACCTTGGGCAGAGATTTACTCAGGGCTCCTCACTCTGATTCTGGACCCTTTTTGCACTATGTCCTGTTAAATTCTGCTTACACAGGGTCTTCTTGTCAAGATCTTTGGTTGTGTGGCTGCCACAGTGATTAATAACTTTTGATTAGGGGACAGATATTCAGGGAAATGGGACCTATAATCAAGAGAAGATCCAAGCAAGAGAAACATAATTTTCAGACAAGGTCTCTGAAATAGTTATTATAAAATAGCCAAGGACTTCCTTAGTGGCACAGTAGATAGGAGTCTGCCTGCCAAGGCAGGGCACACAGCTTTCATCCCTGGCCAGGAGGATTCCACATGCTGCAAAGTCACTAGGCCCGTGCACCGCAGCTGCTGAGCCGGTGCTCTCCATAGTGAAGCCCCCATAGGCCTGTGCTCCGCAACAGTAGAATCCACAGCAATGAGAGGCCAACCCGCACACCACAAGGAAGAGTGCCCCCGCTCACCACACCTGCATGCAGCAACGAAGACCCAAGACAGTGAAGTACGTAAATAATTTTTAAAGTTTTTTTAACTAAAAAAATAAAATAGGACTTCTTTGGTGGTACAGAGGATAAGACTCCACTTGCCAGTGCAGAGGATACGAGTTCAAGCCCTGGCCTGGGAAGTTTCCACGTGCTACGGAGCAACTAAGCCCGTGCGCACAACTACTAAAGCCTGCACACTCTAGGGCCTGCGTGCCACAGGGGTTGAAGCCCAGGCACCTAGAACCCATGCTCTGCAACCAGAGAAACCACTGCATGCAAGGGCATGTGCACCCCAGCCAGAGGGCAGCCCCTGCTTGCCGCCACCGGAGAGAGTTTGCATGTAGGGATGAAGACCCAATGGAACCAAAATAAATAATTAATTAACAAAAAATAGTCAAGAAGTGACTCATGGGGAAACCTAATGAGAAATAAAAACTAGAAAAATGGACTTCATTGGATATTCGGAAAAATGCAATACCTGAAATGAAGAATGCACTAGATAAACTTGATGGTGTACTGAAAATTTTTTTAAATTAGCAAAGCTCTACAAAGACTGATCAAGGGGAAAAAAAAAAGACTAAACACAAATTACAAATATGCCATTGAAAACGAGGTTATCACTACAGATCTTGAAGCTATTTAAAGAGTAAGAAGAGATAACTTTATGTCAATTAATTCAGTAACAAAGATGAATGGACACACTTGAAAATATGACTTAATAAAATTGACACAAGGTGAAATATACAATCTGAGTAACTTTATATAAAATAAAAAATTAAATTTGTAAAGAAAAACCTGGCCAGAGGGAAAAAATCTCCAAGACCAAATGGCTTCACTGGTTAATTGTATCAATATTTAATTAAGAAATGATACCAATTTCATAGAAATTCTGTTATGAAATAGAGGAGGAAGGAACACCTCTCAATTTCATTTTTAAGACCAACGTAAAACCCCAATGCAAAATCTGACAAAGATAATTGAAATATTTTGCCTTTTGCCAAGACAGATGAGCCTTTCCTGTGGGATGTCTGTCTTGTTCTTATTAGCTTATGAGAATGCTTTATGTATTTTAAATACAAGTCCTTTGTCAGCTGTATCTGTTGCAAATATTTTCTCCTGATCTATGGCTTGTCTTTTGGTTTCCTTTATATATTTTGATGTGCATGTATTTATTACTCTTTGCCTTTTAAGTTAGTACATTTTGGGGTTCTTCTTTAAGAAACTCTTCTTAATCCCAAGATCAAGAAGATATTCTACCATGTTCCTTTCTAAAAGTTGTATTGCCNGCAGAGAGTCAGACACGACTGAGTGGTCTAATTCTCCACAATTGTCCCAGCACCACTGTTTATTCATTTTTTAATTGGAGTATAACTGCTTCGCAACATTGTCCTGGTTTCTGGTGTACAATAATGTGAATCACTATGTGCACATATATGCCCTCCTTTTTGAGCCTCTTTCCCAGCACCCCCAACCCATCCCTCTAGGTTATCACAGAGCACCCACCTGAGCTCCCTGCCAGCACCATCACTGAAAAACCTCATTCTCTTCCACAGATCTGTAACATTTGGTATCCACATATGCACAGATCTGTTTTTGAGCTCTCTACTCTGTCCCATGGGTCTGTTTCTCTGCCCACCCCAGGGTTTATCTGAGTCCCTTAAAACAGAACTGTGTGGCTGAATTACCTTCTGAAAACATATTTCCACCACCCTACAACTTCCATGTTATCACCTCATTCACCCACCTGGCCTATTTCCTATTTCCGTTTCTTCAGGAATGATTGTTGTAGCAGAACATAGATGATAATTAGCCAAGTTCTTGACTCTTGAATTTCAGAAGGATACAGATAAGTCAGAGCTAGTATTTCACACCCGTAAGATTAGATAAAGATCCCTTAGATGAGGAGAAGGAGAAGCAAGGGACAGAGAGAGCTTGAAGCAGGCTTCCTGTCTCTGGACAATCTTTCTTGATGCCTCTCTCTCTCTCTCCAGTCGCTAAGTCGTGTCCGACTTTGGCGACCCCATGGACTGTAGCCTGCCAGACTGCTCTGTCCATGGGATTCCCAGGCAAGAACACTGGAGTGGGTTGCTGTTCCCTTCCCAATGCCTCAGGTTATTGGAAATATAAGAGCAGAAGAAACAGGTGCCCCCAACCTGAGTAGGATTGGAGATATTAGAAAAACCTCAGATTTACCCTTGTGCCTGGCAGTGTTGGAGATGGGAAGCAGAAGACGCCCAGAAGATGACAAATGTTCCCTGAATACCTGGGGGCACAACTGAGGCTGAGACAGTGCCCCTGTAGAGAGGCTTTGCAGTGGAGCGGGAGGGCATGAGCGTGGCCCGCATGGCCTTTGGACAGAGTCCGAGAGCTAGCGCACTCCGGCTGACCCTCTCCTCTGCATGTCGAGCTCCAGCCCAAGGCTGAGGAAAGCAGTGAAGCCTGTTTGTAGGGGTGGGGTAAAGTGTTCAGTGCTTCATCATTAAGCATAATGTCAGCACTCTGGTTATTTTGTAAATAGCCTTTATCGGATTGAAGAAGCTCCCTCTATTCCTAGTTTGCTGACTTGATACCATGGATGAGTGTTGAATTTTATCAAGTACTTTTTCTGTATATATGAGCTGATTATATGATTTTCTACTCTGTTCTATAATTTTAGTCAGTGATCTTTGAATTCTGTAATGGTCATACAGTCCCTGCACAACCATCACATGTTTCTAGACTTGGTTTGCTAATAAACATTTTCTAAAGGATCTTTGTGTCTATGTTGATAAGCTATATCGGTCTTTTCCTGAGATGAGAATTCCACAATGAAGGAAATCCAAATGGCCAATCAATGTGAAAGGATACTAAATTTTATTAGTCATCAGGAGCATGAAAATTACAACCACAATGAAATACTCTCACATTATCACTTGACTAGTAAAAATGTTAAAATCTGATGGTCCTCAGTGTTGGTGATGTGTGGGTACTCAGTTGTGTCTGACTCTTTGTGACCCCATGGACTAGCCCACTAGGCTCCTCTGTCTGTGGAATTTTCCAGGTAAGAATACTGGGGCGGGTTGTCATGCCCTGCTCCAGGGGATCTCCCTGAGCCAGGGATCGAACCCGTGTCTCCTGAGTCTCCTGCAGTGTAGGTAGATTCTTAACCGCTGAGCCACCAGGGAAGCCCCCTACAGCCCAGAGGCTAGTATAATCCCTGTCCACACTAGTCCCACTTCTCGCAGGAGCTGCCCCCCTAAAATCCACCGGGTTAGGCTCCTCCCGGTGGCACTGGCCCCACCCCCTCACCTGGATTCAGCTGCAGGCCATATTTGTCCTCAAGGCCCTCCCTGGCGATGGTGATCACGAGCTCTCGCAAGAAATCGCTGTTCTAGGGGTGAGAGAGAAGAGATGCGGTAGGGCTGAAGGGGTGGAGGGAGAGGCCCCGGCCCAGGCCTCCCCCGCAGCCCCGCCCCCAACCTGCATCCTCCGGAAGAAGTCGCTGTTGACAGCTACGTCGTAGGCGGTACAACCCTGGCCTTCTGCGGGGAGAGAAAGGGGGTGAGACCCCCCAGCCCTCGGTGGGAACCCCCTGGCCCAGACACAGTCAAGGAAAACACAATCAAGGACAGCAGCCACAGACCCAGACAGACCCAGAGACAATTAGGAAGTCAAAGATACTGAGCTTGCCAGTCTGGACTCATACCCACGACCTCGTCTCTAGTCTTTTCCCCTCTGGCCCTTGCCCACCAAGTCCCAGAGCTCACCCTGACCCTCCCCAGTTCACAGTCCTCCCAGGGCTCCCCAGCGCCACTGGGGGAAGGCTGAGTTCTTCAGCCTGACGCTGGAGGCCCTGCGTGGTTAACCCCCTTCCAGCTGCAGAGAATTTCAGTTCTCTGGCACTTCATCCCTGTAAATCTCCCATCACTACTGATCACTGACCAACTGAATCATTTCTCCAGCCTCTGGACCCCTCTCTCCTCTCTGCCTAGAACCCTCTTCTCTATCTTGGCCTGATGAGCTGCTCTGATTCCTTCCAATCTTATATCCAATGTGCCCTCCTCCAGGAAGCCTTCCCTAATCCTTTAGTGGGAGTGAAGAACCCCCTCCAACCCAGCACAGAATCACACCATATTGAAATTGCATCTGCTTCCTCTGCCCTCATCCAAGACTGAGAGTTTCTCAAGGACAGATTCTGGGTTTTGATAAGTGCCTACTCCCCAAGGCACTGGCCAAGGCATCATCCCAAGAGGCTTAAGGGACATATGTGAATTGAAAAAACAAGGATATAGAGACAGAAACTCAACAGAAAAGAGATTAGACAAGGCAGTGACATAGAGACAGGGGAAAAGGGTGCAGGAGAAAACAGGGGTGAATGAGAGCTGGCCAAGGACTAGAGTCAGATTAGCTAATGAGCACCTGCCCAGCCCCACTCTCTCCTGGGGTGAGGCAGGGAGAAGTGCCAGCCTGACCAGGTGAGTAGAACCAGGACTGCCCAGTGAGGTTGTGGATACCCAGGAGGTTAAAGATATGCCTTGGGGAAAAGAATCAGATAGGGGGTTGGGGGTGCAGGAGAACGAGTTTCTAGGTTCTGAGGGAGGGTGGTCCAGGGCACTGGAATCTTTGGTCCTAGGGAAGAAAGGACCATGGGGGTGGGGGTGGGGGGTAGATTCCTGGGTCTTCTCAAGGCACTGACTTGCATCCATTTCCGCATGTGGCTCTCCCAAACTCATGGGAATGCGAAACCCAGCCTGGTCTTCCTCCAGCATTTGAAGCAGCTCATCCTCAGTCAAGTCAGCCGGCGGAGGGATGGAGGGAGAGTGACAGATGTTGATGAAAACCTTCCCTTCAGCTGAGTTGGTCTTGATGCAGAAACCTGGTGGGAATGGGTTTGTCCTTGACCATCTGTCTNGTGGCCAAAGTATTGGAGCTTCAGCTTCAGCATCAGTCCTTCCAATGAATATTCAGGGTTGATTTCCTTAAGGATTGACTGGTTTGATTTCCTTGCAGTCCAAGGGACTCTAAAGAGTCTTCCCCAGCACCACAATTTGATAGCATCAATTTTTTGGTGCTTAGCCTTGTTTATGGTCCAACTCTCACATCCGTATGTGACTACTGGAAAAACCATAGCTTTGACTAAAGGGATCTTTGTGGGTAAAATGACATCTCTGCTTTTTATATGGAATGTCTAGGTTTGTCATAACTTTCTTCCAAGGAACAAGCATCTTTTAGTTTCCTGGCTGTAGTCACCATTCGCAGTGATTTTGGAGCCAAAGAAAATAAAGGCTGTCAGTGTTTCCACTTTTTCCCCATCATTTCCCATGAAGTGATGGGACCAGATGCCATGATCTTAGCTTTTTGAATGCAGAGTTTTAAGGCAGTTTTTTCACTTTCCTTTTTCACCATCATCAAGCAGTTCTTTAGTTCCTCTTTGCTTTCTGCCATTAAAGTGATATAATCTGCATATCTGAGGTTATTGATATTTCTCCTGTCAATCTTGATTCCAGCTTGTGATTCATACAGCCTGGTGTACTCTGCATATATGTTAAATGAGCAGAGTGACAATATACAGCCTTGACATACTCTTTCTCAGTTTTGAACCAGTCTGCTGTTTCCTGTCTGGTTCTAACTGTTGCTTCTTGACCTGCATACAGGTTTCTCGAGAGACAGGTAAGATGGTCTGGTATTCTCATCTGTTTCAGAATTTTCCACAGTCTGTTGTGATCCACACACTCAAAGGCTTTAGTGTAGTCAATGAAGCAGAAGTAGATTGTTTTTCTGGAATTCTTTTGCTTTTTCTATGATCCAATGGATGTTGGCAATTTGATCTTTAGTTCCTCTGCCTTTTCTAAATCCAGCTTGAACATCTTTGACTATGCTAAAGCCTTTGACCATGAATGTACTCATTCCATTGAATTGTGTACTTGAAAATGGCTGTGTGTGTGCTAAGTTGCTTCAGTTGTGTCCGACTCTGTGTGACCGCATAGACTGTAGCCCTCCAGGCTCCTCTGTCCGTAGAATTCTCCAGGCAAGAATACTAGAGTGGATTGCCATTCCCTTCTCCGGGGGATCTTCCCAACCCAGAGACTAAACTGGCGTCTCTTACATCTAACCTGCATTGGCAGGCGGGTTCTTTACCACTAGGGCCACCTGGGAAGGTTAGATGGTAAATTTTGTGCATGTATAGCTTCACACACACACACACACACACACACACACACACACCTTGAGCTGGGCCTTGCCCTTCAGTGCTTCACTTCACCAGGAAGCCCTGAGGCTATTTCTGGTGAGTCTGACTGTGGACATAATGTTCTTCCTTCAGCCTTAATATGTTTTCCCAATGCCTTATAAAGAACACTTACTACTTTAAGGATTGGAGGGGGAGAGAAGGACACTTTAAGAATTTAAAAGAAGATAAAAATTGAGGGCGTAGGGAGTTAATTGAGTTTCCCTGGTGATCAGGAAGATCCCCTGGAGAAGGAAGTGGCAACCCCCTCCAGTATTCTTGCCTAGGAAACCCCATGGACAGAGAGGCCTAGTTGACTACAGTCCATGGGGCCACAAATGTGTTGGACACGACTGAGCGACTAAACAGCAACAGGGAGTTCATTGCCGAGCCCTCCCCCAGGGCTTGGGTGCCGTGCAGGTGAACAGAGGTGAGGAGCAGCTGTGCTCCAAGGGACCAGGAAGGCCCTCACTGACCCTTCATCCTGTCCCTGAGAGGTTCACCAAGATTTTCTGTAGAGCTAAGTAAGCCTGGGTTCCTGTTGGAGGTTCCACCAGGAGAGTGGGGCCTTTTCGTCCAGAAAATGGTGAGGCAGTACCTGTGGTGATGACAGGCAGTGTTCAGCCCTAACAATGGTCTCAATTTAACAATTAGTAAATAGATAAATTTACTTCCAGATCCCCTGGAGAAGGGCATGGCAATCCACTGCAGTATCCTCGCCTAGAGAATCTGATGGACAGAGGAACCCAGCAGGCTACAGTCCATAGGGTAGCAAAGAATTGGACATGATTTGAAGTGACTGAGCACAGACACACGCATCGTCAGGCCTATCACCAAGCCTGNATGGGGTCGTAAGAGTTGGACACAGCTGAGCGACTTCACTTTCATGCACTGGAGAAGGAAATGGCAACCCACTCCAGTGTTCTTGCCTGGAGAATCCAAGGGATGGGGGAGTCTGGTGGGCTGCCGTCTATGGGGTCGCACAGAGTCGGACACAACTGAAGTGACTTAGCAGCAGCAGCCGAAGCAGCTACACATTTTAGAGCACCAACTCTGTTTCAGTCACTGAGGAAGCCTTTATATACATTATTTTTTGAATCTTCATGGTAACCATGTGGGTTGAGGACCTCTATTTTAAATACTTTTCCCTGTAAAATATATCCTGCAAATAAAGAAGCTTGTAATGTGTATTTGTACACTTATTTTTAATAAGAAATTAATTGCCTTAGGGTGACTGCTGTAATAAATAGACCCTCAAATGCCTCATGACTGAAATACAAGGACGCTTCTTATTCACCAGAGCTGGGCAGGGAGGCAGGGAGAGGAGGGTGGACAGCTGCTCTCCACACGGTCACTCAGAGATCCAGGTTGCCAGGGGCTACTCTAGCTTTAGTCCGGGGTATCTGAGGTTGCCTATCACATTTTTTGACACCAGATAGCTGGAAAGGAAAGGACCTCACATATCAGTTTTACAGACCAAGCCTGAAAGTCATGACTTAACTTACATTTAAATCCCTCTGCCTAGAACTCACCCTCCAGGCGAAACCTAAGCTCAGGAGAGACTGAGAAATGCAGTCTAGATTTGTTCTCAGGACAAAGAAGAAGTGAATTTGGGTTAGGATGACTCGGGTAACTTCTTGTTCAAACCAGAGCCTTATCAACAGGGAAAGGAGTGATTAAATCATCCCGGGACAGCAGGTACAGATTTGGATGCGAACAGACAGTCACCTGGTTTTTGTGAGCAAGAGTAGGCAAAGAAAAACAAACGGCAATGTTTTCTTTGTTTAAAATAAAAGCAAGGCATGCCCACAGCCTGTTCTACACCTTGGCTTTATTCCTCCCGCTTAGCAGTAAATCTCAGTGATCTGGTCATAAGAGATCCTGCTTTAGGTGTTTTTTCACACAGTGACACTTTGTGAAACAATCTGTTGAACCAGTCCCTACTGATGGATGTAAGCTGTTTCAATTTTTTGCATTACAAACAACAGTACAATGCGTCAATCATTTTAGGTATGTCTTAAATAGATAGCAGTTGTAAAATGAAGTCTTAGGCTCTTAGGGTAACTAAACAGGACCCTAAGGGCCTTCCCAGAACAGAATACCCCATCACAATGTCCCCCACCTGACTTTCATCTGTGGAAAAACTTTATTCCAAGCATAAATTTAGCCCAAGAGGTGAGAAAATGAAGAAGAAATGAAAACAGTCAAGCAAGACAAAACAATAAGTTTAGCCATTAGGCCAAGTCTTTAGTTTGGAACAAACCTTTAGTTCCTTCTCAAGGGCTACAGAGAATATTCTGAGCCATGTCCTTTGAGCTGTTTTGTAGATTCTGAACCCCTTCCAGGTGGAAGAATTTAACTGTGTGCTGCCCACAAGCATGTAGGCCCCCGAAGGCTTGGAACTAGAAGGTTAATGATGCTGACTCCCGATTACCTCAACACCAACCAGTCCGAAGAACTTCCATGAGCTGATCATACTCCCCACAACCCTCCTCCCTCACCCTGTCTTTAGAAACCTTTCCCTGAAAGCCTCTGGGGAGTTTAGGCCTTTTGAGCACTAGCTGCCTAGACAGCTTGCTTGGCGCCTGCAATAAACTCTGCACTTTCCTTCACCACAGCCCAGTGTCAATAAATTGTCTTTATTGCATGCAGGCAAAAAGCATCCTGGTATGAAAGCATCTCCAGTTAATGTATTTGATAGCTTTATTTATTTTTGTAATTTATAGAAATAGGGTCAAAATGTATTCTTTCAAAATTCTGTGATTCTTTCCCAATTTTTGCTCAAAATGGTGTTTTTAAGATTTATGTGATTAATAAGTGAGTAGCCCATATTTTAAAAGTAAGTAGTTTACTTTTGGGAGAAGGCAATGGCACCCCACTCCAGTACTCTTGCCAGGAAAATCCCATGGATGGAGGGGCCTGGTAGGCTGCAGTCCATGGAGTCACGAAGAGTTGGACACGACTGAGCAACTTCACTTTCACTTTTCACTTTCATGTGCTGGAGAAGGAAACAGCAACCCACTCCAGTGTTCTTGCCCGGAGAATCCCAGGGATGGGGGAGCCTGGTGGGCTTCCGTCTATGGGGTTGCACAGAGTCAGACATGACTGAAGCGACTTAGCAGCAGCAGCAGCAGTCTACTTTTGAGGGTTATTTGCGCTGTCGCCGGTGTTCTGTGACTACTCCCTGGCTCCTAGACGCCTATGTACAAGTTTCCTCTATGACTTACCCCAACAGTGGATCTGCCTGTCATAGGGCAGGTATACATCCTTTCATTAGATGCTGTCAGATCCCTTGCTGGACTCTCCTAGAGTGATTGTGCCAAATCAGACTCCCGCACGTGGAAGATTCCCATGGCTCCACATTCTTATCTTGGCTTTCTTGTGTATTTGAGGCTAAGCAACATTTTCTTTCTTTGTAATTTCAGATTCCTTGTTTACAAACACCTCCCTGTGTCTATTGCTCATTTTTCCATTGGACTGCTTATATTTTCCATGTCAGGTTGGAGTTCTTTCATACTTTGAACTCTAACTCTTTGTTGGTTACAGTTGCTATGAATACTGTGTGTGACTTGTCTTTACTCTCATGATGTCTTCTGATAATGGTTCTTAATGCAGCATGGTCAAATGGATCAGTTTTTCCCACATGGTGG